CATTTTCTGGTAAAAGGGCCTGACGATGTGAGCTCTTGTACCATAGAAACTATTTACAGAGAAAAACAGTAAGCATTGTTTCTTTTTGTTCTGCTTAATCAAGTACCCCAAAAAGATATTTAAAATAAACAAAACAATTAGTGTATTTTGACTGCTTTCTTTAATAACTACATTACACAATACTTGTACTTTTACTTTCAGTACTTGAGTAGTAAATTTTGAAATAAACTACTTGTAATACTTAAGTACAAAAAATGTTGAATACTTTTGTACTTCCACTTAAGTATGGTGCATAAAGAGCACTTCTACTTCTACTCAAGTCAATTTTTGATAAAGCACTTGTACTTTTACTTAAGTATGGGTCTCTAATACTTTATACATCTCTGATTATTACTGTTGTTTTAAAAGGGGCAAATTAAACATTTATTTAAAAAGTTTGTTTTCTAACTAGTTCAGTTATACTTACTGTATTGCATTATTAAGTGTAGGGAAATAGATACTCTGCAACGATGGATATTTTGATAACTGCCTGTTAGGTTATTTGATTTGTCCACCCACTGTCTCTGTTATAATGCATGATGGAAGAATTGTGTGGGCGTGCATCGGTCCAGCTATAACTGCCGCGCAGCCGAGACTGCGCTTATGAGTCCATATGATTCCGCCTATTTGAGTTTCTGTTTCTACATGAAGTGACTTAAAGACTTTAAATTTTTTGTTCTACAACGAGCTTTGTCAGCTTTTGACTGGATGGTTCTTATGGTAGTGGCGAAATAACGGATTGTCCTGGGAAAATTGGGACATCTGATCACCCTTATGGGTGACTAAAACAGGGCTATTCAATATTCTGATTGGGCTACAGCCGCTCTGAGCCCCAGTTTAGCACAGACGTCACTGTTTTTGAACAGCAGCGAACCGAAAGGAATACTTCAGATTATTGATGAGAGAAAGAATAATGCAAAGAGGCGTTTCCCACATCATAGTGCAAATTAATTATTCAGCCAATCAAGGGCCCCCTTCTTCCGTGGGCCCTGGGCCTTCAGCCCCACCTAGCACTTGTGTTAATCCGACCCTGACTGTAGGTGTCAAAGTCAATTCCTGTAGGGCCACAGCTCTACACAGTTTTGCTCCTACCCTAATAAAACAGTTGATGCAACTTACCAAGGTGTTTAAGATTCTTTTGAACACTTTGATTATTTGGATCAGCTGTGTTTGATTAGGGTTGGAGCAAAACTGTGCAGAGCTGTGGCCCTCCAGGATCTGACTTTGACACACATTGTCTAACGCAGGGGTGTGCAAACTCCATCCTGGATTGCTGTTTTTCGGCATATTTTAGTTTCAACCCCAGTTAAACACAACTAATCAAGCTCTTTCCAGGTATACTAGAAACTGCAGGTGTGTTGAAGGAAGTTGGAGCTAAACTATGCAGGACACCGGCCCTCCAGGACCGAGTTCGGACACCTCTGGTGTAATGCCCTTCCAGTCGTGACCCATCTCTGAAAAACATCCACAGACACACACACACTCATAGACTACGGACAATTTGGCCTACTCAATTCACCTGTACCTGGAACACCCGGAGGATACCAACGCGAACGGAGGGAGAACATGCAAACTCCATACAGAAACACCAACTGACCTAGCCGAGGCTCGAACCAGCGACCTTCTTGCTGTGATGCCAACCCGCAAGAGGAAGTGAAGGAAAGTTGTATTGAAATCTGACTCCCTGGACAAATCTAACTCCCCTTTGTCTGCGCGTGCATCATGCAGCACCTGCACTTACACTCACAGAAACTTATCATGACACTTTTATCGATCAAATAACAGCAAGATCAAACATAAAAGCATTGTCTGGTTGACAAGCATCACCAAATTATGTTCAAAAGAACTTAAGATGCCAAATGGGATGAATTTTATACCCCATTTCTAAAACTAAAACATACTCTAATAGGTAGTTTAATCTACACAGCAATAAGTGGAGTGTGTGGGTGAGAGGGAGCATCGTTTTGATGTGATCCATATGTTGTGGTTCTGTAAATGCTGGTGTTGGTTGCTATATGGTTAAAAATTATGATCTTTAAAGTAACTACGTGTAGGTTAATTTCAATTTAAGTAAATTAAAATTAAATAAAATATTAATCTAGTATTTTGGGAGGGTATGGACAGTTTTTTTGTCTGGAAAAAGTCAGCTATATCTGGCAACCCTGTTCATGAATCGATGGAATCAATTCACCAAAATGCTAGTCCAGATTCATTTGGTGATATGATCAGTGACCATTACTGTAGGAGGGGTGACATTATCAGAGAGTAACTGATTCATTGACTTAACTGATTAGTTTTAAAATAGAGCGTGATTCATTATAATTAGTCAATTCAGTAACACTTCATTTAAAGGTCTCCTGGCAATACATGTTTCTTGTGTTTAATATAGCAATTACAACTAATTATTCATAATTATCCCTGTGGTGAGGGTTTAGCAACCCTTTCTGCAAGTCAAATTACATAAGAGCAAATTATTGGTTCATAGTTTGATTCCTTAAAAGCAAAGTCATTCTTAAACAAATCAATCATTTTAACTAAAAAGTTCATATTTTGAATGTGTTCTCCTAAATGATTATTGCAGATTTGTACAATTAATAATTCAGTGATATACATGGTGTAACCTGTCCCACAAAAAAAATATTGTTACTGAGTAATCTACTTAACTGACTTGTTATTGCATCTTTGATGGATAAATTTGTAATTTCTTATCACCTACACATTTGAATCTTGTCACTAAACTGAATAGTACAGTTTTGCTCTGCATCCATATCATGAACAACTCAGTGGATCATTTACGCAACTGTTACTGTAAAAACAGAGGGCCCTATCACCCGGGGCAATAAGGTGCAAGACGTGTTTGACATGACTTTTTTTTTTGTTTTTGCTATTTTCAGACCAGCACAACTAAATAACAAATCCATTTGTGCCACTTTGTGTACTCATGGGTGTGCTGGTCTATAAAGGAGATGTGTTAGGCGCATTGTTGGTGTGAAGCTGAAATAGGCTGCGGAAAAGGCTGGTCTAAAGTCCAGCGCAGAGCATGTTAGTCATGCGGTTATCCAGGTTCTAATGCTTAATACACATAGGATGTACAGTAATACACAAATATTTTTAAATATGAAAAAAATATAAGGCAATGCGGTGACGCAGTAGGTAGTGCTGTCGCCTCGCAGCAAGAAGGTCGCTGGTTCGACCCTCGGCTGGGTCAATTGGCGTTTCTGTGTGGAGTTTGCATGTTCTCCCCGCGTTCATGTGGGTTTCCTCCGTGTGCTCCTGTTTCCCCTACAGTCCAAAGACATGCTGAACAGGGTAATTGGGTACTACATTGTCCACCTTCATGTCTGGGGGGCTTTTATTAGTTTATTCATGACAATTTGCATTTTTAATATAATATTATTATTATTATTATTATAAGAATTATTTATTATATGAATATTTATATTTGTTTTAATAAAAACAAGTTTATATTTGTCCACCTGTTGGGTTTTGTAGAGTATACATAACCATATGGGGCAAAGGAATAGGATGTGTGTTTGGATATAACTCAGTTTTCTGACCACACTTCATTATTGTTGTTTATTTATTTGTTTGCTGAAATTAGAACTAAATTGAGAAACACATTTGAAACAAATATTTGTGCTGAACAAACTAAATTAAATATGAAGGCTATGGATGTTTTCAGTGGAGTGCGTGCAACACCGTTTCCTTATCCATGAAAGTGAAGGAGTAAAGAAAAGAGTAAAAGTAAAGAGAAAGTAAAGAGGCCGAATAGAGAAGGTTCATTCTTTATCCTCACGCAAATGGTCTGTCAGTTTTCTTACTAGTGAAGCGTTCAGTTTTTCCATTCAGCTTTTCCACTTACAAAGTCTGCCATGTTAAAAGCAAATGTGCCATGGTGCGACACAACTGACTTTCAAAGGCAATGGGAGATGAGACTCTGATTGGTTTAATGCATGTTATGCTCAAAATACACCCATAACTCATTAAGAGAATAAGCACAATCCTGTTATACCATGTGCCATGACATAAACTGTATTTTCCTATCCTTTAAATAGCAAAAGTGGATTCGAACACACCATTAATGCTTTTGCGCCACGCACTTTAGAATGTTTAGATCGTTATAATAGAACCAAGAGAGTCATTCCTCAAAAAAAAAAGCCTTTTTCTTTGTTTTTAATGATCTTTTGAAGCTTTTAAATACATTCAACAAAATGATTACAAAGAGTCTACTGCAGTTTTATACATTTTAGCTTTTTTTTTCTTTTTTCTTTTTGTGAATGACAGTATCAAAACAAAACTGCCAGCCTCCCCCTTTTTAAGAGGAGTGTATGATGTATATGACAGTTTTATTTTGGGCTCTGTCACTTTTTTTATTGACAGACACAGTATACAATGGCAATTGTTGGTAGGAGAGAGAGAGAGAGAGAGAGAGAGAGAGTGAGTAAAAGAAGAATGGGATTATGACCAGACAGGCTGGGTTTAAACCTGCGTCTTCTACATGAACATCGCATTCACAGCTATTTATCTTCCCCTGTGATTTTATATTTAGTAACACGCATACACTGGAGTGCTCATATTTTAAAAGACACACACAGGCATATGGAGTCCCTGTAGCATTGGTCTGCTTCACTCTGAAAGCTGAGTCTGCCTTTTGTGGTCTCTGCGGTACTGAAACTGACTGGCCCACTCCGGTTACTGAAGTTCAGCTTTTGTAATTGCGTTCATATATCCCACTGTTCAAGTCCCAGTCCTGCTTTCCCAGACATCAACAGCCAGATTGTGTGTGAGTGTGTGTTTTTGTAAAAGAGGAAAAAAGCTAGATAGAAGTCAGCATGGCGTCGTGATTAATGAACTGTTAAACAGAACCAAACTTTTCAAAAACAGTGTCTGCTGCTAACTGCTGATAAGCTGCAACAAACGCTTACAGCTTGTAGAAATAGAGGTTTTGATGTAATACTCACCCAGACCAAGGCATGATACTCTCAATCCAGATTTCCCAAGGTTCCTAGACAGAAACACAAACAGAGAGAGAGAAATAAAATATTTATATTAGATCTAACACTGGACTTCTTTTGGATCAGGCTTCATTTAGCATAATACCATTTCTCGATATAGATTTGTAACTGAAATATAATTTCAAATGCAGAAGCCTGAACAAAATTAGGTCAGAATGCAATTTATAAAAACAATGTTAAATATTAATGTTAAGTTTTGTCTAAAGTTTAGCTCAGCTGTCTCTTTCAGGTTAACCAGTTATATTTAGGAATTAAAAAATATAGTTTTATTATTGTTAAAGAGATGCATGAGCTGAAGCTAAACAGTAAATGAATAGCTTTGCTCTACACTCTCAGAAATGTAGATACAAAAGCCTGTCACTGGGACAGTATCTTTTTAAAAGCTACACCTTTTTACCTAATAGGTCCACATTGGTAACTTAAGGTTGCATTTTTGTACCATGATGTGCACAATTTGTATTTTTTTGTGTTGTACTTTAACTCCAAAAGTGCTTAAACGGTCATCAAACACCAAAACACATTTTTTGAGATGTTGACAGTCATATGTACGTCCTACGTTGCTAAAACACCATTTTGACACATATATTTCACTTAAAAGTGAAAATTGTTTTCAGCAAATTCGTTCTTCCGGTTTGAAAAGACATTTTGAAGCTACGTCACGGTCATTGTGTAAATTCCAGTGTGGATATTGGATGTCATTAATGTGCATAATATAGCTTGGGAAACAGTTTTTGCTTGTGACAGTGTTCAGAGAGACACCACGTTGTGTTCCCAAACGTAATTGAAACAAATGGAAGTAGAAGAGTTGTTCTGAGACATGGGTCGTCAGTGTTGCGTTCATAAATGTGCCGCAAAAAAGGTTTTGTTTCCATTTCCCTGTGATGAGAGTGCAGCTTGCATGTGGACCCACATATGTGGATTACAGTGGTCTGCCAACATACAACAAAAATGCATTTGTAAGGAAAGGTTTTTGGCCAAGAGCTTTTCAAGTCTGGAAACAATGAAATCTGGATTTGTTGCTCGTCTTCTTTTTTAAAAAAAAAGACACGACTCACATAATGAAACTCTAAAGATGCCACACATAATGAAACTCTTTTGCTGTTGGACCAACATTCCTGACTGTTTTTTTTTTATTTTTTTTTAATCTAGAGGTGTGGAAACACCCTGCTGAGACAGGAGGGTTTCATGGTCCTTTAAAGGTACTGTCCCACTGACATACATATTTTTTATGCTTTGGATTTGTGAAGTGAATGTTGTCTTCTAATTTTAGCATCAAAGTTCACTTAATTTTACTGTGGATTCACTTTTAAACAAATCGCAAATCAATACTGGATTTTTAGAACAAAATAAAGATGATGTTGTTCCAACAATATTGGTTTGGACATAAATGTTGCCCAACCATGCTTATTCCAATAGTTTGTTCCATTGAAGGGGTCAAAACAAAACAAATGTATTATTTCTAAATGGTGTTTTTCTATATGTTAAACACAAACACATGGTTTGTATGTATAGAATATCTTGATAGAGCATAGAGTATGTTTCGCATTCTAGTATAGCCTCGTGCCATTTAGATCCAGAAATAGTGTGCTAAATCCCATAAACAGTTTAAAACATAACTGAGATTTTGTAACTCCACGGCATGTGTACTGTGATAACAGCTGTGTGTGCACCATGAACCGGATGAAAGGGAATTCATTGTTTTTAATGAGATTTATTGATATCTAGTGGGTTGGGATTTGCGACAAACTTCACACGGAACACAGTAAAAGTGCTGACAGAGAGAGAAAACGAGGATGAGCCAGAGCAAGAAAATGCAAGTAGGCATTTTGCAGTAAGAGTGTATTACCCCTGTGCTACTATCAGTATGAATTTACTTGCCTGCATCAAGGCCAGAGAATGAAGGTGCAGGATAATAACAGATTCACTGCGCTGCAGATAATAAACCTGCATGTGTGACAGATTACACACGGTAAATGCACAAGTCCAGCTCCCGAGAACTTACACAGCACGTTCTGTAATATACAGCCTGTCGTTACCATTCGTTTCCAAAGATTCATCTGTCAACTTGTGGCAGTTCCTAACAAAATTAAGTTGAAGAGTGTGACCAAGGAAACAGCACAATCCCCTTTCAGGAACTAGACTGTAGTGGAAAGAGACAAGATGTTCTTGTGGATGTTTCTTCTCAACAGAATAACACTTTATATAAAATATGTTCGATGGACGTACATTTAACCCAGAGTAACTATTTAACTTACTACATGCAAGCATTATTTTGGTTGTTTAAAAGAAGTCTAAAATATGTCTAATAATAGTCAGGAATTAATTATTACATATGTGAAGTCTGTCTAATCTTTCTATTTGATGACTAGTCTAGTTTTGGACTATTGTTACTGTAAATGCCTGTTAAATTTTGGCAGTCGTACTATAGGGACTATGCAAGAGTGTAAAATGCGATTTGCCTGCAGTGAAACTGTAAACACATGAACCTTCATTTCTTGAAACATCAACTGGGGTTCGTTGGAAACATGGTCAGTGATTAACTCACTTGAAGTTTTATGCTTCATTATAGCTCAAATCTAATATTATTTTTTTGGTGGATCTTCTTTTCTGCAACCTTTTAATACCAAGAAGGTTGAACGTCTGATGTAATGACTAAAATCCCATCCAGCCCACCTCAGCCATTTCTCTTCAATCCTTAGGAAGTTTTTCTTTCTTACACTCTAAAGTCTGATTTAACTTCTGTCATGTGATCACTGCACTCCATGGTGCACACGTTTCATGTAGCTGATGCCATTGTGAGCATTTATACCTGTAAGTTCTGATTATATGGCTGTAACACTAATACAGTATGATCATGTACATGTAATAGTAGGCATTAGAATTCCTATGATCCACTGTTTTGAGTGTCTTTGCCAGTGTTTACATCACATATGTGTGCAATGCTACTGTAGCTATGCTAAGTAGCTCAAACTCACCTTTATTTTGACAAGAAAGAGGCAGAAGCCAAAGAACATTTACACAAATTTGATCATAAATAATCACAAAACAAATGTAACAATGTAGAGCTCTTCCATGGGACTCATTGCTTGTTAAACACTTGGAGCTCAGCCTCTCTCCACTGCCACAGCTCTCTTCCTGCTAACGCTTGTTACCGCCATTAAGCTGGTCAATCACAGATATTGCCCTCCACATCATTGCATCATATAGTAAAATTTTTGGAGCGGTGCACATCAGGATCTATGTCAGGGTACGGAGAAGAGTCTACAAGACTGCAAAGGCTACGGCAGACTTACCTCTAATGCAGATATATAAATTGGCCTTTAGACCGGTATACTCGCAAAATTGTTCAAACTTAACATTGCATTGCTTAGATCAATGAACTTTTGACTTCTACTTTGAATCAACCTATCAGTCAATTGCTGAATCTAAAAACCTTGTTTAGGCAAAGATCTTACACTCTCTAAAATAAAAGTTCAAACGCTGTCACTAGGGCAGTACACACACAACAAAATCATCCTAGCAAAATTTACTGTCACTCTGCCTTAGGAAGCGGGAATGACAGCGGTGCATTAGTTCAAGCAGCACAAGAACTCTAACTTAGCAACGGAATGCAGAGTTTGAGGTTGGACAGTGACAGTCCATCCTGTAGAAGTTGAGTGCAGGGGATTTGTCAGGAAGTCTGTAATTCATCTCTGTGTTGCTTGTGCATCTAGGATGAGACTGAGGAGAGCAATTAAGGAGATGGTAGAGGAGGAAGAAAAGGCATGTTACCAGATGTGTCTATGGAGGAAGGACAATAATTGGGGCATGTTACCCCATAAAGGGCAGCTGCAATGGTTGGCAGGGAGAAGTACCTACAACCCTGCAGCTAACTCAAAAGTGCACTCAAGAGCTCAGAGTGTATTTGGTCCCTCTCTAAATTGAGTTAAAGTTACTCCAGAGCAGAATTAAAAATAATGAGATAATGAAGGTGATTAATTAAGTGGTGATTGAGCACTGATGATGAACACTTGTTAATAATCAGATATGCAGAAAAGAAACACAAAACTACAACTGACTTCAGACACAGTTCGATGAAATCAACTGAAATTAAACACAGTCAATCTCTCAAAATCTCACTAGAGTATGATTAGGGAACTCAAACAGCTGCTTTACAGTACGTATTACAACCTATTTGGCCTTACACTACAAAATTTCAAATAGTGATATTATTGGGAATTAACAGATTAACTCAAAATTGATATGATATAAAACTGAGTAATAATTTACAAGAATAAAAACAACACAGCAAAAATATCTCACCACTGTTGAAATGCACATGCTGATTCTTGATGTATGTGTCTCTAATGCACTTCTGTTTAATGCGTTTTTAAAAAATTATAAATCCACAGTTGAGTTCCACTCTCTTAAAATACACAGAATTTTGTATCTTAAGTGATAAACCATGCAAAGTAAACTCATCAACAGTAAGAATCAGTTAATCTGATCACTTTACACTTGCTATATACCAAGCAAAGAAAACGTAACATTTGAAATCTAGTCAAAGAGCCCAAGTAAATCAACCACTCTTCTCCACGATGGTGATGTAAAAAAAAATCTCTTGTTTTTTGTAACACGTAAATAACTAAAGCAATTCATTCTCAATAAATCTCATATGGACTTTTGTGGACATCTGGCAGAAATCAAATCAAACATGTTAGTTATAAGTGAAGCTGCTGCTGTTTTTTGAACTCAGATGTAGTTTTGTGTTTCTCCGTGATTCTGCTTGTTAACAGGTGTTCATCATCAGTGCTCAATCATCACTTAAACAATCAATTGATTGTCTCATTTTTTTAAACTCCGCTGCTGAGTTACTTTAACTCAGTTTAGAGAGGGTCAAATAATTTCTGAGCTGAGTAAATTATACTCTAAGAATTTGGCTGTGGTTTCTAAAAGTACACTTTAGTACTTTTTTCCAGATATGCGTTGCAGCAGGAAGTTCATCCGCTGC